TATGAAGTCTCTCACTCTCTGTTTTCATTGGGGGGTGACTCAGAACATGTCTATAGAGAGCTCTAACTCCTTTATTACAAGGGGTAATGGAAAAGTTTAATTAAATGGTGTTAATAAAAATATAAAGAGCTTTAAATAATCTTAACTATGCCTTAATCTCTCAGCTGCCGGTCTTTACTCTCTTGACTCTTATGTTATCCTTTGACTAGTTTAACAATTAAAATGTTTGATTTTAAAATGCTAAAGAATTTGGTTCTATTGTAGAACTCCTTTTCTTTCCATCCTCCATTTCTTCTTCCAGTGTTTGCTCATGTCCATTTCAGCTAGGTGTTCGCATGCTGCTTACATGGATTCCAGAGCTTTTTCCCTTAGCAGTTCCCGCTGGGCCAGCCAGCGAGCCCCTTGAAGTGGCACTGGCATATTGACATATATATATATATATATACCCCTGCTGGCCCTCCACCCCCTCAGTTCCTTCTTCCCACCCATGATAGTAGCTGGAGCACTGGACTCCGTAGTTAGTCTGTCCCTTAGTGTTATGCAGTTCTTAGTTTAGATTAGTTTAGTAGTGTAAATAGTTTAAAGTTGACCGTTCTTATCAGGGGAGTTTTCCCTGTCTTATCTCTCTCCTCCTGCGGAGGGGCTGCATGGTTTTAAATAGTGTGTAAAGTTCTCTTAATCTATGCCCTGTGGCGATCCGCATGACTCCTGTCTGAAGTGCCTAGCAGAGGGCCATCACACAGACAGCTGTCAAATTTGCAAGAACTTTAAGCTGAGAACGAAGCGGGAGCACAATTTCCACCTGAAGCTCATTTTGATTGAGTCCACCCTTCAACCAGCAGCTCTGGAAGCGGCATCAGGTGTACGCAGCGAGCCGACTTCCCTTATAGAGCCTTCCTTGGCTCCAAAACACATAGCACCAGAGAAGCCTTCATCATCAAGGCAGCGGTCACAGTCTCCAGTGCTATCCAGGAAGAGGCAGCACAGGGGAAGATCCCCTACACAGCACAGCCTCAGTGTAGGCCACATAGATGGGCATGCGGCCGAGTCAGTGCATCAGGCAGCTCCCATACCACATCAGCACTGGTTGACCTCGATGCGCAGGGAGAGTCCAACACTGGACACGTTGATTGAAGAGGTCCAGTAGCTGTCAACTCCAGAGGCCTATGATGCGGCATGTGAGCTCATAGAGCTCTCTTCATCCCAAGGACCAGTCACTATTACTGATGACAAACAGTGGCCTTCTCTGCCACCACCGGAACCAGCCATGCTGCCAGCACAGCCGAGAGCTCCTGTACACACACCACCCCCACAGCCTATGCCAGTCCCCATACTGGCACCGCAGCAACCCTCCATACTGGTGATTGGATCAGTGTCACCAATACCACCGGCCCCTTCAGATACCAGGGCACCAATTGCATCAGCACCACCTCTCATGGCACTGCACGCTCTGATACTGAATATGAGACCACCCTACACTTCAGTGCTGCTGGTGCAGAGCCACCCGATGCCACCACCAGCACTGCCAATTACATTACTGGCACTGACCCATAGATGGAAACCAGCAGTGATGGGCTTAGATAGGTCATCTCATAGCTCTCCGGTACCATCACAGCACCGCCTTGTTCAACCTCGGACTATTCCTCTGAGTCAGATGCAGACTTGGATGTCTGCTCAACATCACCTGTTATGAGTTTGCAGGGCAAGAGGCACCCCTGCAAGCTCATAACAGGTGCAGGCCTCGTCCATGGCGTTCATCGCTCAAGTGCCCATTCTCGAGATCTACAGGCTAGGGATGATGCAGCCTTTTGTAGGGCTGTGTTGCAGTCCACTACAGATTAGGCTTCTGACCCCACCTCCTGTGGTACTGCTAGGGAGTCACCTAACTGGAATGGACATGAGCAAGCACTCATGAAGAAGAAAAAACAGTTACTTATCTCATAACTGTTGTTCTTCTTCAAGTGATGTCCCCATAGGTGCTCCACTGTAGGTGCTGGGCTTGCTCCAGCACTGCAGAATGGAGATTTTTCCAGTAGCAGTACTCGGCTGGACTGCGCATGCACGGTGTTGTCTCGCAGCGTTCGCGCTCTTTTGTGTGAGTGAACAGTCCGGTCCTCACCAGCTCCTCTCAATCACCTCAGGATGCAGACAGAGGGAACTGGTCTCCTCAACTTCCCTCCTTATTGAGAGATTGTTCTTGTTAAAAGTTACTATTCTTCCTGGTTTTACTTCTTCATATCATTCCTCCTAATTTAAAAAAATAATAATACCCTGAAGTTTTTCCTCTCCCGTTCCTATGTCCGTTTTTCCTAGGATCCCCTACAAGTAGTTTTACATAGTTATATATATAGGATAGAGATAGTTTCTGGTTCAACCAAAAAATAAATAAATCTTTTCCACTTAAAGATTGGAAATGTCGTCCTCGCCCGGCTTTAAGAAGTGCGACACTTGCCACGAGGCAGTGCCCACCTCTGACGGGCATTCCTCATGTATCCACTGCCTCGGGGAAGCTCATGTCCCACAGAAGTGCCTACACTACACAAAATTGACCACAAGGGCCTGACGGGACAGTGAAATGAGGCTGCAGATGATTTTGTTTGATAAAGCCCTCTAGCTGATGCGCTCGGAGTCAGCCGAAGGACTCCTCCATGCTGAGGTCATCATCGGCACCAGTGGCGGCGACTTTGGCACTTGCGGCCACCTCTGTTTCAGAGCAGGGATCAGCACCGAGATCTACAGCACCGGCACCAGTGGTGCTGACTCCGCATACAAGCAGCACCGAACCACATCTCTCAGCACTGAGTACTCCTCCACACCGGAGTCGTTCCCTATCACCAGTATTTTCACTGGCTCCGTCGCCTTCCCCATCGGCACCGCGCTTCCCGAGATCTTACAGCACAGGGCGCCGCCAATCACCATACTCTCCATACCACAGGCTGTCCTCCCCATTTTTAGCAGCCTACAAGGACCACTGTCAATACCATCATCGACACTTCTCTGGCTTCCTCTAGAGCATTGTACATCCGCACCCACTCTCCCCGTTCTCCTCACACACGCCATTGGGAGCACGGCCAACTTACTTATTCTGACAGGTGCTCACCACTTGACAGACTTTACCACCGTGATGACCGCTACCACCATTATTCACCCAATAGATACTCGTACCACTATAGGTCCAGATTTCATGGAAGGTCATACTGTGACTGTACATCTCCCAGACACTCCCCAACTCCAGCTCCTCCCACCCCAATGGGACAACCTGCATCTCCACAACAACTTCCATCAGAGCCAGATGATACCCACCTTTCCATCACCGAGAAGCATCCACCGGAAGTGTCCCCTACTGACCTTTCTTATTCTCCAGACGAAGCCATCATCCCTGGAGATGTTTCCCTGCTGGACGACCTTTGGCAGTTCCAAGAGCTCTTCAAGTGGGTGGCGGTAAGCCAGGAGATATCGTTGGCTGAAATAAAGGACAAGCAACATCGTCTTCTCAAAAATCTCCAGCCCCAACATAGATCGAGGATAGCTAT